CCGAGGCTGTCTTCCCTCTCTCTTTCCTCCTAGCCCTTTTCAATGCCTTCTTACTTTTGACCTTCGTCCACGGTTCCCCTTCAATCAGATAATCTCGTGCTGGGGATAGCGAGCTGTCTCTCCTATGCGTTTCACCCGCTCTTACCGTCCTACTCCTGCTCCTTTGCTCCTCATGAGTTCTCTCACTCGCACTCGTCACGATTCTGCCAGTGACATCCACGCTCGTGCGCACTCTCGGTCTCTCTTCCATCCTTTTTTGGACGCCTCCTAGCATCGGCCTATACACCGGAGGTAGGGGGGCCTCGCTCGTCTCGTCCGTCTCGGTTTGGACCACTTCTTGATTTTTCTTCTTCCGCGTCCTCGATGCCGGGAATTCGTCAGCTACTTCCTCCTCTAGTTGCGAGGGACTTACTCTTTCGCGTCCCGGTCTTCCGCGCTCTTCCTTCTCCCTGAGTCCTTGAACAGTTCGAGTGAGAGTCTCCACCTGATCCTTTAGAGCGGTTTTCTCCCTTCTCAAAATGTCCATTTCTCTTCTCAGCTTGAGGACCTCTCTCTCTAGGTTGCTAGATCTCACCTCATCCACGGGTCCCGCACTTTTGGCGATATCCGAGGCGAGTCGCTGTATGGCGATCTTTGCCACGTTCACCCCTACTTTCATTTGTCGACGCAGATCCCCCTTCATGGTCTGCGTCCTTCTCTCCGCTTCTCCCGCCATATCTAGTACCCTCAATGTTTCCGCCATTATAGATTTAGGGGACATCTGAGGGAAAAGTTCCGTCACCTCTTCGATCGCGTCTTTCTGCTTTGAAGAGAGTCTATCGTCGAGTTGGCACTCAACTAAGCCTTTCCTCTTCTTCATGCCGTGCCCAGCTTTCTTCGATATTTGGAAGAAATCCTCTCTGTCCCATTCGTCATCTTCAAATTCCATGCGCTTGGAAGAAATCTTCGACAGCGCATGAGACCCTGTCGCGTTGCTTCCTTTAGGCTTGCGTCCTCTCTTCTTGCCTTTGCGCGGTATCTCCTCAAATGACGACTCGGTGTTCTCTGTTTCCGTCATCGACATAGATTCCGCTGTACTCCTGCTATTGGGGACGCTATCCCCCGTGTCACTCGTTACAGCCGTGAGGTCAATCGTCCCCTTCTTTTTCGCCGGTACGATGTCCCCCATAGGCGTGCCCGCTGAGCTTTCAGCCACTGGGGAGTCTACTATTTCTCCGCCAACGACCCTGATCCTTGTTTCCTTAGGATACTTTACATCAGCACCTCTTGTCATCTTGGGCCTCAGGCTTCTCCTCGCCCCCGTGGCCATGTCCGGCTTTGTTGATTCCCTGGTTGGTCCGCCCTGGTTGGTATCCTCCATCTTAGTCCTTACCAGCAGCAGTCGGAGCTCCTTGTTGCTTCCTCTCTTTCTCTGAAGTTTCGGAGTCTCTGTCTCTGCGGCCTCTCCATCCTTAGAAGGTGTCCCTTCCATCCTTACCGCTCTCACTGCCTCCTCTTCATTTGTCCGGCCGGTAGTCATATCCTCCGTGGAGCCCGTCGGCCACTCCACGGTTTGCCCCTGGCATGAGCCTCCCGGGCCCAAAGCCTCGGGAGTCGATCGCCCGGGAGCGGGGACACTACCCCCGGGAGACCGGTGCAGGCATCCGAGTTCCTGCAGGTTTATTTCTTTTCCTAAGTCCATTTCCATTAGTTGTATAGTTGTCGACGAATTCTTCCGGCCGCGGGGCTCGCCGACCCACTCCGCGGTTCGCCTTCCACTCCTCTTCTTCCTTCCTGATACCCACACAATGAGTACTCCTCCGCAGCAGCATAGGGAATACAAAGCAAAACGCCGTCGAAGGCGCTAACCCACATGCCGCTGTAGTGCCTCGATCACCGCCTACACGGGTCGCGCGTATCTGATCGCCGCAGGTGATTGCACTCCTCTCATCCCTCTCCTCAACGCGTCCTTTCGAGTGACCGTCCCGTTCTTTAAGCGCCAGCCTGTCCCTCCACTCCCGGCTGTGGCCCATCCGTGCACCCATCGGATCGTTCCCCGCTTCCCAAGGGAAGTGGGTCGACCGAGGGGGGACGGAGAGGGTCCGACGCATCCCCGCCGGCGCACCCGTCTCTCTCAAGACGAGCGGGCGCCCCGACGCGAGCGCGCCACGAGTGTCCAGAAAGGCCCCTACCGCTACTTCGCCTACTACGAGTTGTGATGATCCTCGTTTCCTGTTCGCCTACTCGCAGGCCGACCCTCAGGTCGCGTCTCCACCAGTGACGCCCAGTGTGCAATGGGCGATAGTTCATGAAGAACGATCGTCCACTGGAGCATACCTGGTGGTGAATGCCTGGGTGCAATGGGGTTAGTACCCCACCAGGCATTCCCTTCCTCAATGGCATGGGCTCGATGTCCTAGGACAGAGCCCGCCTGCAGCTATAGTACTGCGTCGTCGCTCCAGTCCTCGGTACCGCGAGGGAACCACCCCATCCCCCGAGGGGAAGGGGAGGGCCCCACGCGGGCCCGAGGGCCGTGGTGGACGTCCACCACTCCGCTCTCGGAAGGGAGCAGTCCCCCCTGTATCGGTGCCGAGTCACCGGGATTTGAAGTCAGAGTTACCTTCTCCTACCGGTGTAATGATTCCCCATCCTGCTAAGGATGGTTCCTCCAGACCCTCCATGCTCCGAGGAGCGTGGAGGATCCTTGGGACGCCGGACCCTGTTGTCCAAACGTTTTTTTTTGTTTTTGTTTTACGTGGGAGGAGAAAATCTTCTTATACCCCTTCCCGAGGGGGACCCTTTCGGGACACCCATCGGGAAGGGGAAGACCCCCGACGGCCTGTACCGTCGGGAGTGCCGGATTCGGCCGCCTCGTGATCCCTGGGGTACCAAGTACCCCAGGGACGCACCGGAACGGTCGTCTACCGACTAAAAACTCCCCCCATTTCGTACGCCCTCCTAGGCCTAGGGGGTGACACCCCGGAACCGCAGCCTAGCATATCATCAAGGTGCCACCCCACCTACAGGGCCACGAAGCCCTCTACAGCCAGTTTCGGGTTTATCTACGTAGATATTATTGGCCGCATGCCACGCTGTCTTTGTACACTATATACAATATACATATACAATATATATACATCCTACGCATCATTATGTACATCATTCTTGTGTGGTGCAGGGGTCCACTTAGGCTCCTAATCCACCTCCGTGAGCCCGTGCACCACCGCGCCATCGCCAGCAAGCGTCATTCCTCGTTGTCTGACGTGTTAGCTTGGGGGACCAGCGCGCCCACGGGTGCCCGGATAATCCCCCGTTCTCGGGCGCGCTCGTCCTCCTTCTTCCTCATGACCCTCTCGCAGAAGGTCATGAAGACAGTCCAGACATTTTCGGAGAGCATGATCGCCCTCACCACCGCCCCGTAGGTCCTGTCGACCCCTATTACCTCCAGGATCTCTCCTCTCTGTTCCGCCCAGGCCGGACAGAACAGGAGGGTGTGCACCGCCGTGTCCGCTGTCGCGCGGCAATAATAGCAAACTGGGGAGACCCGACGTCCTATCCTGAAGAGATAGGACTCGAATACTCCATGTCCGGTCAGGACCTGAGTGGCGCGGTAGGTGAGAGCCCCATGTCCCCTGTCTACCCACCTCTCCAGGTGTTCCGCCATTGCTCCGCGCACCAATGCTCCGGGACCACTCCCGGGCATCTCCACGAGTCGCTCGCGCCATCTCCAGAGCGCGCGCTGTCGCTCTACTTTAATTATGTTGTCCCTCTCACGGGGGGACAACACCCCGTTTTCGGCGATGGTCTGCCGTCGCCGGAGGTATGACCTTCTCAACCTATCTGCCTCTATATCTGCGGGAACCATACCAGACAGTATGGCCGCCGCGTCGTGTGATACGGTACGGTACCCCCTAACCGTTCTTAGTGCCAGCTGCCGCTGCAGTCTCCTGATCCTACTAGAGATCCACCGGTCCCCAGCCACGGTGCTCGCCCATATCGGCGCTCCGTACATAACGACGGCCATCGCAGCGGTCGCATACATTTTCCTGCGCTTCTCTCCCGGCCCTCCAATATTGGCTGTTATTCTGGCCAGTGCCATCGCCATCCTCCATGCCTTAGGCATGACGATTCGGAAGTGGTCCCGAAAGGTCCACCTCGAGTCCAGGGTCAAGCCCAGGTATTTCACGGTGGACCCAATCGGGACCACCTCCCCCCTCACCCTCAAGGTCGAGTTTGCCGGGATCCTACCCCCAGTGAATACCGCTGCCTCAGTCTTTGGTATAGAGACTCTCAACCCCATCCTTTCTATCTCACGAATTAGAAAGGTCACACCCAACTCCGCTCTAATCATCGCTTCGTCTAGTGTGTCCGCCTTGATAACCAGCAAGGTATCATCCGCATAACATATTGTCCTGCATCCTACCGGGAGCCTAAGCCTCAGGATGGCATCGTACCCCATGTTCCACAGGATTGGTCCCAAGACCGAACCCTGTGGAACCCCATATGTGATTGCCCTGCATTTATAGCAATCCGTCCTATCGATATATGACAGGTCCCTGTCCGCCAGGTAGTCGCCAAGGATGGCCCTAAGATAGCCCGGCACCTCCTTCTCCCTAAGCGCCTCCCTTATGATCGGCCACGGCAGGGTGTTGAAGGCGTTCGCTATATCTAGCGACATCGCCATCACCACCTCCCCGTCTCGCAGGCCCTCGTCTACGCTTTCTCGCAATCTCCATACTGCGTCTATTGTGGAGCGGTGCTTTCTGAATCCGAATTGGCTTTCAGCGATGCCTTCGGTCCTCACCAAAAATACGCTTAGCCTACTTACGATAACACGCTCAAACATTTTCCCCGCCTCACTCAGTAAACAGATCAGTCAGTATGAGGACGGGGCTAGGTCCGGTTTGCCCGGCTTTTTCAAGAGTACCAATCGCGCGACCTTCCATTTCCGGGGAAAGTATCCCTCCTTGAGGCACTCCGTAAAGCACTTCAAAGAGGGACGAGCTGTCCTATCGTTTCCTTCATGACACATCCGGGTATACCATCTGGTCCTGGAGCTTTGCCGATTTTAACGCTGCACAGGCCTCCAATACCTCCTCGTGCGTCACCGCGAGCTCTTCCTGCCACTCCATCGTCGTCCCGTTGTTTTGGGATGCAGTTCCTTTTGGGAACAGCACAGTCACTATCCCTTCCGCGACGTCCGGTGGTAGGGTCTCCACGATAGAGGCACCGCCGGACGACAACTTCTTGGTGACCACTCTGTAGGGCATTCCCCATGGGTCCCTATCGAGATCATTCACCAGTTCTTTCCACAATTTGGCCTTAGATCTACTTATGGCCCTCCTAAGCTCTCGCCTGGCCTCCTTCAAGCCGTCCCACAGTGTCTTAACATTTTCAGGACAGGCGCGTCTTCTCCCTCTCATTCGTGTGAATCTTCTTCTCCATGAATTACAGGCCCGTCGGAGCTCGGCGATCTCCTCGTTCCACCAATACACCGATGGACGTTTAGAGGGTCCCTTCCTAGCCATTGCTACATCCGCTATGTCTCGCAAAATCTCGTCGATCCTCCTGGCGCTCCGGGCACCGTCCTCTTGCACTCCTTCCCACGCCGAGAACACCGCTGCCGCCTCCATCATCTCCCGGTCAATGCGTCGCGTGACCCATCTCGGGAATTTCTTCAGCGCTGTCCTTCCTATCTCCGTGCCCCTCAACGAGGCTCCCACGTCCATCAGGATATATCGGTGGTCCGATAGGGATTCCAGCTCGGTCGCGACACGCCAGCCAGTAACCTTCCTGGCTGCAGTTGGCGTTGCCATCGTGACATCCACGGCGGATGTTCCACGGGGGTGCACGCACGTGGGTTCTTCTCCGTTATTGATGAGCTGCAGTCCCCTCGTCCCCATCCAGCCCAGAAGGATGCCTCCCCTCCTGTTCGGCCGTCCCGGGTCCCAGGCCTGCGCTCTGGCGTTAAAATCACCAGCCACTATCGTTGGATGCCCCCTCCGTAGCACATCCCGTAGCTTGTCGTCCATTTCGTCCAAATCGTGGACGAATTCGGCTTGACTGAGGCTGGGGGGAAATAGCACGAAACAATCGTCACGTCCCCCCAGTCCACAGCCACGAACCTCGCTCCTCTGCACCGGAGTACGCACGGTGTCCTGGTGCCTCCCCATTGCCACGTTATCGCCGTGGACGGTGGCTCGCCCGTGTAGGCGAACCATTTGTCGCCGTCCGGTATGCGAGCAGGTTCCGCCACGGCGACCAATCCGATGTCCATTTCTTCGGAGATCTTACCTATGAGGTCCTGCGAGGGCCTCGACCTGTTAACGTTAATCTGCGCTAACCTGGCCATCGCAAATCTCCATACCCTCTGCTCTCGCAGACCCTGAAGCTTGGGCCCCCCGATCGCCCCCCTCACTCACTTCCTCTGTTCCTACCACGTTTGGTTCCTCATTTCGCAGTGTCTGTTCTCTCCCGTTATACGGTACGCACGACACTGATCCCGCTCTATGGTTCGCATTCATACCTCTCGCGGCACACACTGGGCATCTCGGCGAAGCTCGACACCCGAATGCCCTATGACCGTCGCTTCCCCCGCACTGGAAGCACCATGCCGATCTGTCCACGGTGCTTAGACAGTTGACTCTGGTATGTCCCACCGTAAGGCACCGGAAGCATTGCAGCCTCCTCTTTGCCAGTGGGACAACCTTCGCCATAGTCCACCCGACTCTCAGCTTACCACTGCTGAGCATCAAATTCGCTCCCGATAACGGGCACTGTATCCACACGGTGCTCAAGCCGCCCCTGCCCTGCCTCAATGGGCCTGCTCTGATGCTTGTAGCAGGCACCTTTCCGCATTTGGACACCGCCGCGACCACCTCCTCCACCGTGGCTGACTGGTCTACATCGATCAGCCTGACCTCCGCTCTTTGCACCGGGCGTATCACGCTCACCTTCTTTTCAAACTCGCTCTCGGCAATTACCGTTTTCAGTCGATCAACGAGCGCCTCCGCCTTCGCACTGGCCTCTTCTCCGCCCGGGATTTCAATGAGTAATCCCCCTGCCTGGGCCTTTCATATCCGGGTGTTGGATATCTCCAACTCCTCCAGGGATATCTTGTCCCTCGCCATCCTCATGACGTCTGCGTACGTCGGCGCGGAACTCCCTCCTGCCTCCTCGCATCTCAGCAGGACTGCTGCGGTCCTGTGGGCTCGGAATCGCTGGTCCTTCGCTGCCGGTCGCACCGGTATTTTATTCGTAGTCCGGATTATAGCTCCCCCAGTTCTTCGTCCTTCTGGGGCTTCCCTGACCGCTACTTCCGTCGTCCTGTTTAGGTTCCTGTCCCTCGTGAGTCGGACGGCTCTTTCCAACGCCACTTCCCGCCGAACGTCTTTTTCCGGAGCTGTTTTCTCCCTCTCTTTCCTCCTGGCCCTTTTTAATGTCCTCCTGCTTTTAGCCTTCGTCCACCCATCCCCTTCAGCCTGATAATCTCGTGCTGGGGATAACGAACTATCTCTCGTGCGTGTTTCACTTGCTCTTACCGCCCTGCTCGTACTCCGTTGTTCCTCCCGAGTCCCTTCACTCGCACTCGTCACAATCCTACCGGTGACGTCCACGCTCGTGCGAACTCGCGGTCTGTCCTCCATCCTTTTTTGAGCACCTTCTAACGCCGGCCTATACACCGGAGGTAGGAGGGCCTCGCTCATCTCGTCCGACTCGATTAGGACCGAGGTTTGGTTTTTTCTCTTCCGTGTCCTCAATGCCGGGAATTCGTCCGCTGTTTCCTCCTCTAGCTGCGAGAGATTTATTCCTCCTCGTCCAGGTCCTCTACGTTCTTCCTTCTCTTTGAGATCTTGAGGGTTTCCACCTGATCTTTAAGTGCGGTTCTTTCCCTCCTCAGAGTGTCCATTTCCCTCCTCATCTTGAGGACTTCTCTTTCCAAGGCGAGGTTGCTGTTTCTCACCTCATCCACGGGTCCCGTACTTTTGGCGATATCCGAGGCGAGTCGCTGTATAGCGATCTTCGCCACGTTGACCCCTACCTTCATCTGTCGTCGTAAATCCCCCTTCATAGTTTGCGTCCTTCTCTCCGCTTCTCCCGCCAGGTCTAATACCCTCAGAGTTTCCGCCATTATAGATCTAGGGGACATCTGTGGAAAGAGTAGCGTCACCTCTTCTATCGTGTCCTTCTGTTTTGAGGACAGTCTGTCGTCAAGTTGGCATTCGACCAGTTCTCTCCTCTTTTTCATGCCGTGCCCAGCTTTCTTTGAGATTTGGAAAAAATCTTCTCTATCCCATTCATCATCCTCGAATTCCATGCGCTTGGAAGAGATCTTCGACAGCGCATGTGATCCTGGCACATTACTTCCTTTGGGCTTGCGTCCTCTCTTCTTGCCCTTACGCGGTATTTCCTCGAAGGACGACTCAGCGTTTTCTGCTTCGGTCATCGACGTGAATTCCATTGTGCCCATGCTATTAGCGACACTATCCTCCCCAGTGTCACTCATCGCTGCCGTGAGGTCGATCGTGCCCTTCTTTTTCATCGGTGCGATTTCTCCCATGGGCGTACCCACTGAGCTTTCAGCCACTGGGGAGTCCACTATCTCCCCGCCGACAACCCTAATCCTTGTTTCCTTGGGATACTTTGCGTCAGTACCTCTTGTTGCCCTGGATCTCAGGCTTCTCGCCCCTGTGGCTAGGTCCGACTTTGATGGTCCCCTAGTTGGTCCGCCCTGGTTGACCTCCTCCATCTCGGTCCTTTCCAGCACCAGTCGGAGTTCTTTCTTGTTCCCTCTCTTCCTCTGAGGTTTCGGAGTTGTCTCCACGGTCTCTCCTTCCTTAGAATGTATACCTTCCTTCCCTGTCGATCTTGCCGCCTCCTTTTCGTTTTTCCGGCCGGTAGCCATATTCACCGTGAAGCCCGTCGGCCACTCCACGGTTTGCCCCTGGCATGAGCCTCCCGGGCCCGAAGCCTCGGGAGTCGATCGCCCGGGAGCGGGGACACTACCCCCGGGAGACCGGTGCAGGCATCCGAGATCCTGCAAGTTTTTTTCGTTTCCTGTGTCCATTTCCATTTGTTGTATGATTGTCGACGAAATCTTCCGGCCGCGGAGCTCGTCGACCCACTCCGCGGTTCGCCTTCCACCATTCTCCTTCCTTCCTGACACCCACATAGCGGGTTCTCTTCCGCAGCAGCATAGGGAATACAAAGCAAAACGCCACTAAGGCGCTAACCCACATGCCGCTGTAGTGCCTCGATCGCAGCCTACATGGGTCACATGTATCCAATCGCCGCAGGTGGTTGCACTCCTCTCATCCCTCCTCGACGTGTCCTTTCGTATGACCGTCCCTTTTCTTAGCGCCAGCCTGTCCCTCCACTCCCGGCTGTGGCCCATCCGTACACCCATCGAATCGTTCCCCACTTCCCAAGGGAAGTGGGTCGACCGAGGGGTAGGGTCCGACGCATCCCCGCCAGGCCACCCGCACCGTCTCTCTCAAGACGGGCGGGCGCCCCGACGCGAGCGCGCCACGAGTATCCGGAGAGGCCCCCACCGCTACTTCGCCTACTACGAGTTGTGATATTCCTCGTTTCCTATTCGCCTGCTCTCAGGCCGACCCTCAGGTCACTCCTCCATCAGTGACACCCAGTGTGCATTGGCTGTTCGTTAGTGAATAACGAACAGCCACTGGAGCAAGCCTGATGGTGAATGTCTGGGTGCAATGTGGGCATGCCCACTCCAGACATTCTCGGCCCTAACCTGGCTTGGGCTCAATGGCTTGCGCCAGAGCCCGCCTGCAACCTTTCGGCTGCGTCGCCTCTTTGGCCGGTAAGTCCCCGACAGGAAGCCCCTCCTCCCCCCTGAAGGGAGAGGGGGAAGCATCCCCCCGGAGGCCCACCGACCATGGTGGACGACCACCACTCCTCGCATGGTGAGAGAGCAGCCCTCTCTCTAACGGTGCCGTGCCACCGGGATTTGTAGTCAGAGTTACCTTCTCCTACCGGCGTATTGATTCCCCATCCTGCAAAGGGATGGTTCCTCCAGACCCTCCATACTCCAAGGAGCATGGAGGGTCCTTGGGACGTCGGACCCTAGCGTATAGAGTCCCTCTATTTAACGAGGGACTCCGTACTGTGGAGTTTTGGCACCCGGGACTCTCATAGAGAGCCCCGGGTGAGCCCCCGTGCCACGACAAGGCCCTCCACGCACGGGGGTTGTCCAGACGTTTTTTTTTGTTTTTGTTTTACGTGGGAGGAGAAAATCTTCTTATACCCCTTCCCGAGGGGGACCCTTTCGGGACACCCATCGGGAAGGGGAAGACCCCCGACGGCCCGTACCGTCAGGAGTGCCGGATTCGACCGTCCCCTGATCCCTGTGATACCAAGGTACCACAGGGACGCACCGTGACGGCTGCCTACCGACTAAAAACTCTCCCCTAAGCGTACCACCGCCATTGCCTATTGGGGGACAGTCCGGAACCGCATTTCAGCATAACCTCGGACTGCCCCCCAGCGTTTGGAGTCGCATGACTCCCTACCTCATTTGCGGGTTTTCCGCCCAAGTAATAACCTAACCTACCCTAGCTTACCTCTACATTCCTATTGCTAAGATTCTATGTACAGCTTTGCATATATTTACAATGTCTCACCACCTTGTTCCTCTCACATACGGTCATCGGAACTTAATACCGCTATTTTGCATATTTACAATGTCACGCCTCCTTGTTCCTCTCACATGGCGGTCATCGGAACCTAATATTGCTATTTACATGCTATGTACACCTCTGTTACTCCTCACACATTCGATCATTGGAGCCTCACCCATTCGGAGGAGCCGATACTCCCACAGGTAGAGCAGCCTGCTCCCGCTCGCGGGCACGCTCGTCTTCCTCCTTTATCCTCATGATCGTTTCGCACAAATTCGCGAAGACGACCCACGCTTCTGGGGAGCGCACAATGGCCCTCACCACCGCCCTGAAAGTTCTATCAACCCCGATGATTTCTAGTAGGCCCACCCTCTGCTCCGCCCAAGCCGGGCAGAACAGAAGGGTGTGCCCCACCGTGTCACTAGTTGCCCGGCAAAATATGCATATCGGGGTGTTCATCCGTCCTATCCTGTACAGGTAGGCCCCGAACACCCCGTGCCCCGTCAAGATTTGGGTCATGCGGTAGGTGA